GCTTGTTATGATGTAAATGACCACATTACTACAAATGTTTATAAAATATAACTGTTTTTGCATAAATAATTCACTGTTTTCTGTACGCTTTCAATTTTCTGCAGATGCAAGCTGTCCGTATCGTGGGAGAAACTAGGATGAACCGAACTCTGGAACGTAGATAATTGTAGTTAGGTAGAGATGTGATCTCCCTCATTGTATTCTCTCATCAATTTTATGGAAAGTGCTCAGATGAAGCAATGACTGACGAATGAGAAATCTTCATTGTTCAAAAAATTATACAGATCATAAAGATTAACATTATGTACACAAACAAAATGGATTAAATAAATATAATTACATAAAAGTAAGATAAAGAGGTAACAATTGCAGGTCTTATCGCTAAATAGCGATCTCTTCCAGGCTGGAGAGGAATAATTAAAATTGTGTCTGGCCAAGACGTAACAGAAAAATTAAGACTAAAAAAGGGGAGAATAAAAGGTCTAAAGATAAATTTAAACGCAGTATAAACAATATAAATAAAAATATACTTACACATAATAACTAATAAAAAATTTATAATACCTTATTCACATAAATAGACGTAAATAAACAATAACATACATATATATGAATGTACATAGATACATATAGATGAACTACATTCTTTTTTCCTTTTTTAATTTCTGATATTGCACCGTGGGAATGGGCCAGCGAATACATTTCTACCTGTACTCGTGTACTAATAAGTTTGCGAGCTCTTATATGAACCGTACTGTAACATTATGAAATGGCCTCTCTCGTGACGTGTTTCTTTCATCCTTTAATCTTGGATTGTTTAAAGGTAGTGTAAAAAATTTATTAGGCTGGTACACATCTCAAAAAACTTTTCAATTATATACAATAACTAGTTGACCCCGTAAACGTTGTTTTACCACTTATTGCCAAATATAAAAATCGCGATTAAAATACAGGGGTTGATCGTAAAACGATGAAAATTCAAAGTTGTATGTATTTTTCAATGCTAAATTATAATAAAATAAAAATAAATATTTTTGGTGGGTCACCCTTATCATTGACGGGTATGAAAAATAGAGGTTGGCTGATTCTCAGACCTACCCAATATGCACACAAAATTTCATAAATATCGGTAAAGCCGTTTCGGAAGAGTTTGGTAATAAACACCGTGACACGAGAATTTTATATATTAGATATAGTATTTAAAAAATGGCGCGGTTGAAACTGGTAAGGGTTCCATTAAGAATCATTAAAGGAGCTACTTTAAATTCCAATAGAGCACCATGCTCTGTTTGTGCAGTAAGGTTATTAAATAATAAAGAAAGGTACGGTCTCTGAAATGGCCTTGGACTCGTTTTCATATTGCTGTCACGAAATATATAACATTACGTTTTTCAGTCGTAGCGAAGTCATTTGCGCACGTGTGCATACATTTAAAGAGGAGAAATTACAAAGAAAAATTATATTGAGTTTGCAACTTTTAATAATGTTATATTATGACGCAGTAAGTTTTTTTTTATGGGCGAAGATGGAATGGTAACCCCGCCTACGCTATCGGTATACGTTAACGGGTCACCAGTGAAGGGTGACAGGTGAGGTTGATGACAGGTCAGTTGGTCCATAGTGACCACTTGATCAAGAAATAACCACGATGGTTTCCAGGGGGAACAGCGTGGAGGTCGACCTGATAAGGTGTATTCCTAGCAATGAGGTTGTTAAATCTCATTACTAACAATCCCTTTCTTCCCTGACGCAGTAAGTTATTCTAATGGGAGACATACATGATGTTTTTGTATGTAAGTTAATAATAATACGCCTTCATCATCATCACAGCTTTTAACTGTCCGCTGCTGCAACATAAACCTCTCCCTTGGGGGGGTTTTGCCACTAGTTGCTGCACTTGGTGCTAAGAGGGACACTGCTGCCCATCCCTCAACCATATATATATATATATATATATATATATATATATATATATATATATATATATATATATATATATATATATATATATATATATATATATATATTATACAACTTAAAATGGCAAACAAGCTGACGGCCCACCTGATGGAAAGTGATAACCGTCGCCTATAGACATGAGCAGTATGGACATAACAGAGTAGATATACTGATTCGCCCATGATACCCCCATGCGTTGCCATTTCTGAGGACTCAGGTGTTATTACTCTGTACCCTGTAAATTCACGCTATATCCCACCCTTCAAACCGAAACACAGCCATGCAAACACAACGGCTTCACGGTAGAAACACGAATGGGACAGAAGTACCCAAGCAATGGACTTTTGTACAAAGTCTCCCTCTGGTAGATATATATTTAAATTTAGTCATTTCCTTAGCCGTCTCTTACGACACCCATGGGAAAGGAAGTGGAAAAATACCATATTCTATAGAAATTGCCACGCGTACACCATGAACATCACAGAATATTCTGTCACGTCCGTGCGAGTCCTGTTGATAAGTGACGCGTATGATTTTCCATAAGCAGGGATGTTACCTTGTTTACTATTAAAAATGGAGGCGTAATGGGCCGAGTCGTTGACTTCCCTAAAATATGGTTGAGCGCAATGATGAACTGGCTCATGTTTGTTTGTTTATTTTTCATTTAATAATACATAAAAATACAACTTAATTCTAGTTATAGTTCCAGTACTTATGCAAATGTAAAAGTATCTGAGAATCCCATTGCTAGCAATATACCCAACCAGGTCGACCTCCTCGCGGTTCCCCCTGGAAACTATCATGGTTAATTCCTGATGAATTCATCATGATGGGCTAACTGGCCTTGTTTTCATTCTCATCTATCACCCTTCACTGGTGCTCCGCCAGCGTATCCCGTTAGCGCAGGCGGGGCTACCATACCATTTTCACCCATCAAAAAAAATCATGAAAAATTGACGATTTAAAAGTGTTAGTAAACAAGATTATTTATTTCTATTCTGTTTTATCACCCCACTGGCAAGGCTACGAGATTATATATGGAATTTTCCATACACTGGTGAATAATGTTCCGCTAGTCACTAGGATTATCGGATCAAAAGAAATAGAAACATATCGTATCTATCATTCTTTTTTCGTCACCCAACAGCGTATTTATGTTTATTTTCCTTGAAGAGCCTGGATTCCTAAAAAGGCCACGTGTTACTCTTAGAAGTTTTTGCGCATAGCTGAAAACTCCGTTCGGATCGTGGAATGGGCACTAGTTAATTCTGGAGTGGGCATTGCCCAGCGGACCTTTTTTAAATATGCCAAGTAAATGTGTTGCCGGCATAAACTCATTTAGAGAATTTAGGTACAAACTGGGGACAGATTAATTTTTACGAGACGATTTTCTTTTGGAGAGACGTTCCAAACTTTTGAATGTGTTATATATTTAGTTCAGTTTACACTTTCTTATTAAAAAGGTACTTGCCTAATTGTGGTGAATAAGTAATAGCTAACTCATAAAGAAATTCTTAAATAAGTAATAAAACTTTAGGCAGGAATGTCTTTTCAGATTTCGTAAACAATATGGATATATAATATTTAATTTTTTTTATACAACTTAGAATGGCAAACAAGCTGACGGCCCACCTGATGGAAAGTGGTAATCGTCGCTTATAGACATGAGCAGTACCATGGACATAACAGAGTATACTGTTTCCCTCATGATACCCCCCATGCGTTGCCATTCCTGAGGACTCAGATGTTATTCCTCTGTACCCTGTAAATTCACGCCATATCCCACCCTTTTAAACCGAAACACAGCCATGCAAACACAACTGCTTCACGGTCGAAACACGAATGGGACAGAGGTACCCAAGCAATCAACTTTTGTACAGTCTCCCTCTGGTAAAATTCTGGTAAAATTTGAATCTGTCACGATAAGATGCAAAAAAGAATAGGTCCTGAATTTACTTTTTTTTCGGAAATGGATATATGCTTAATTTTCCGATTTTCTTCAGTAAAAAAACATGAATTTATTTACCTATTTTCTTCAGAAATGAACAGGTGTTAAATTTATCAATTTCTTTGTATGTCATTTGACATTTTTGCACATTTTCAATCGATTTTGATAACTTCTTTTGCAATTGATAGGATTTTTATTCACGTATTAGTCCCATATATTACTAACTTATTTTTGAGGCCAGGTGATATGTTTTCTCGTTCCTCTATTTGCAGCTATCACACTAGAAGCAAAATTTTTATTTATCCTACTAATATTATAAATGTGAAGGTTTGTAAATATGTTAAAGTGTTTAGATGTTTGTTAGTCACGAAATTTAGTTAAAGGTTAGGTTATATAGGATAATATTGTAACAGATCCTTAGACTATTTCTAAAGTAAAAAAAAAGTGTTGTCCACCTCTCTCCTACTTGCTGTGCCCAACAGGGTCCATAATTGAAGTTGAAATGTTATCCACTAATTATATTATGGAATGCAATAAGAAATAAAAAAATAATATAAATAAATATTCTAACTGTATACTGTTTTATATGGGAGAAGTCGCGGAAAAAAGCAAGTTATACATATTTTAGATCCATTTTTATTATCATTCATTATATAATTATTTATCATCATATTAGCCATCAACTGTCCACAGCTGGACCTAGGCCTCCCCCATAAGGATTTTGCCAGTTGTTGCCACGTTTGGCAGGCGGGTTGGCAACCGTAGTTAGGCTTTGTTGATGTTTTAAAAGAGACACTGTTGCTCATCCTTCGATCATTAAGTTCTCTTACGACACCAACGAGAAAGATTTTTATGCACACTTCACATTGGATATTTTCATACTTCACGGGGATAAGCTGCCAGTTCCCGCATTAAAATTAGTAACACTGGCAACTGACGGTTTTAAATTGTAACCAAGGACATGGAACTCTGTTACTGGGGTATATTTTTCACATTAAGATCAAATTTATATAAAAGGAAAATTAATTGAATAAAATACGAAAAATATTAGTTAATTTTAGTATAAAATAATTCAATTAATAAAAGTGTTTTTAATACTTTATTTTTAAATTACACATAATTTTTCATACATATTTCCTTACTGAGATTAACATTAAAAATATTTAATTTATATTTACAAATTAATATTTACATTAATTATGATACGTTTACGGGCAACTTACAGTTATACAGGAAATATTATAATCTAACTTGTATAATATTTACAGGTAATTAATCTAATTATTTCTATTAAACAAGCAATGTTAAATTTAGTGGGTATTGATTGCAGACCCACGAAGGTACGTAGTGCAATAATTCTGTTACAAGATGCGTAACATCTTAGTAACAAAATACATAATTATTAATTTAATAATATGGCTGAATTTTAAGGTAAGAGACAATGCATGATGGCCACACGTGAGATTGTTCGGCGTTGATATCAGTGTTGCCAAGTTAATTTAAAAAAGTTGCTAAATACATCAATTCACATACATACTCAGATATAAAAGTTAAAGTTGCCAAATTGTACACATGTACTTACAAGCTGACAAATTTGGCAACATTGCACCTGAGAAGGATGATAGCCATCGATCTTACTATAGGTTCTTGTGCTGTTGATTGCAACGATCCTGAGATCGTAAGTAACTAATTCTGAACTGCGATTGGTCGTTCAATCAAAAATTGAATTTGCAATAAAAATATTTTAATAATTTTAGTTTCCAAAATCTGTTTAAATATAATGATTGTTATATACTATAACATAAAGTCCATTTTTCTATTGTTGTTATTTGGCATTCACGCTATATTAAATGGTCTTAAAGTTACACAGTTATACATCAAGAATATTCTTACAAAATATATTTACATATAAATGTATTAGTTACGAAATCTTGTTATATTCTGACTTCTATATACGAGCACCCTTTTAAATAAACTTTCTTTTTAATACAATTAAAAATAGTATAAAACACTGCTTTTTTAATATCATTTTATATGTATTATTTTTACAAATAAAAAAAAATTAAAATGACATTATATACTTAATATAGTTATGTTATATTTAATACAATATCTTTAAATCAATATTAGAATTAAATAGAAACAATAATATTACAATAAATATTGTTTGAATATATATAAATTTAATCAAGTCTTTTACGGTATCAGGTAAAATGAAACAAAAATGGAACATAAATCTTCTTTATGAAAAAACTAGGTACTTTCTCATTATAACTATTTCAGTACATATTACAATAAGAGTATATTAATTTGCATAAGCTCGTAGGCCTTTAAAACTAGTTCTTATAAAAAATGCTTATTACAAATAGGCGAAAGAACACTATTAGGCTAAAGGAAATAAATCTGGTAAAAGAAGATACTTGTCTATAAAGTAAATGAAACTGCTTGGTTCTTCTAAATATTTGTAAAATAAAACATTAAAATCAACGTATTTTTCTTGTTAATTTTTAATAGCCTTATATACTTATATTTCTTATTGTAAGCCATATTACACTGATGATATCTGAGTTATAATAAATAATGACATTTAAAAATAAATAATAAATTTGAAGAAAAAATTTACTTAAGTATCTATCTACCCACATTATAAAAACACGATTGGTCTCAATTCCGCCAATGAGCTCAAGCATAGAGGTCGTGCGGGGTGAGGGCGGCGCGCGGAGGGCGGGACGCGCGTCATATCCACGTGCGTTCCACGTTGGCATGCGCGTCATTCGCGGTACATTCGTTGTGCGGTGCGGACGCGCCTCGTCGCTGTCAGGTACTGGCCATCAATGTATTATTGTACGTGCTGTGCATCGAAATCCGTATCGTGCCTGTTGATTAAGAGTGAAAAGCTTTAACAATATTAAATTTCAATATTGTTACGAGCATGCGAATCCGGTCATTAACGGCAGTTGTTTAAATGTTACTACGAAGCATTGATATGACTTGCTGTTATGCTGTCGAGTACCTAGGGTACAGTTTGAAGCACGAAGGCTGAGGAGTGGGTGTAGGAGAAATCTATAGGTTAAACAAAGTACTACCTAGGAACATGTTCAGCCTAACTACTTAATGAGCCAAGCTATTTCAGGAAGTGCCACGAATATTTGTCTTACATAACATCGATAAAATCATTACCACATTTCATAAATCACCCAAAATATCTCCTACTTGTGTATTTTATTTGCATGCAGCAAATGGGGAGATCCGGGTGGTTTTTTCATGAATTTTGTTGTTTTGGTAGTCACCTTGAATATACCTACGAAGAAGAATAGCTCCCGTCGATAATTTTGTACAAATCTTCGAGTCACGAGAGACCAGATACTTTTAGGACACAATACTTCAAGGAATAGGTTTTAATTACGAAATAAAAAGAGGCGTAAATAAGCAACATTGGAAGAAAGGATTGCTAATGATATAGCAAGGAAGGAGTCAAAATGGTAATGATCAAGCATAGGTCCACAGTTTTCATTTAATGCTTCAGAAAACTGAGATAACTATTGGGTACTAGGAATTTTAATTATGTTATTAAAGTTACAGCGCTACTTACAACGCGGTTATAGAACGTTACTATATCACTATTAATTTATGCTACTACATCAAATCTAAACTATCTAAGAACAACAGAGATGCCAACTTACTGGTACCATTTTTTCTGCTAGGTGACAGCGATCGAACAGATCTGTCGAGGCGATCGGTCCCGAAGGGTCTATGTCTGCTGAGTCCGCCTCCACCCAAAGCGCCGCAGCACCAGAAGAATTGCTTAAAACCTCGTCTAAACCTGTCAAGTTATATGGTCTAAATAATTATTGTATTGTTTGTTAGTCTGTGTTGTGACAAAATAATAGTAAAGTCCAATTTCCTTTAAAAAAATTGAGTTTCTTGCCCGTTATTTGATATTTTTTTTTAATAACACGATAATGATGGCAATCAAGCATACAGTCCGTTTGATGGTATGGTAGAATAAAAAAAGATGAATATTCAAACATATTTATAATTATTTTAAATAAAAATATTTTTATTCTTTATACGTTTCAGAGGGATTATTTTGAAAATTTATTTTTGAGATAATAAAGTTCAGAATTCAAATTTTAAGATTTTTGTACAGTCTTACTTAGAGTTCATCCAGCAGTATATGATGGGGTTGTACATGGAGTTGCTCATTGCAAGCCAGTAGAAGCCGAGGTATATCTCTTGTATGTGAGGATAGTTCACCACGTCAGGATAGTACGATGTCACTACGAAGTACACGTGGAAAGGAAGCCAGCACACCGCAAATATCACCACCACAACTATCATCATCTTCACAACCTGTGGAAAGAGAAAAGTCAATTTAATTTTTACTTATACTTTACTACTATTATATATAGGAATTGCCGTATGGTCCCAGTACAGAATGTTCCTCTTAAAACATCACCAAAGCCTAAATGCGGTTTCCAACCCGCCTGTTAAGTGTGGAAACTACTGGCAAATCCCCATTTATGGGGAAATGTTCCTTATGGCAGTCTATTGAGAATGCTTATATTTAGTAGAGATCAGTTAATGGCTGATATAATAATGATTTTACCAGAGGGAGACTTTGTACAAAAGTCGATTGCTTGGGTACCTCTGTCCCATTCGTGTTTCAACCGTGAAGCAGTTGTGTTTGCATGGCTGTATTTCGGTTTGAAGGATGGGATATGGCGTGAATTTACAGGGTACAGAGGAATAACACCCGAGTCCTCAGGAATGACAACGCATGGGGGGTATCATGGGCGAAACAGTATACTCTGTTATGTCCATGGTACTGCTCATGTCTAAAGGCGACGGTTATCACTTTCCATCAGGTGGGTCGTTAGCTTGTTTGCCATTCTAAGTAGTATAAAAAAAAATATTCTTTATTTATTCACTAAATGTTATTGAATAACAACTAAGCATATTTACAAATTACACATTTATAATATCTCTTTAGAATGTAACTGATGAATGTATATCCTTTATTTGTCGTCATAGATAAATTAGTGGGATTTGTCCTCTAAGGGGAACGAAGGGATAAATCACGAAGTATCACACGCCACTGTCATGAAACTGCGCAGACATTAATTAATCAACACTGAGTATTTAGCCTTCAAATACATATTCGTATGAGCTCGTAAGTTATTTTAGATGGTATGAACGTCACTAGAAGATTCATTGTTGTGGTAACTGTGTAGTTACATTAATATTACTATAGCACTGATACCAGTAATATATAGTATTGTGTGCTTGAGACTGTGCAGTTAAATTAATATCATAACTACATCTGTCGATAAAGGGGCAAGTCTAGATAGAGTATAGGCATAGGGCAATTACTTATATATGACAGAACGTCGGATAGAGATATCTATCATATAAAAAAATCCCAAATATATACTAATGGTAATCATTAATTTTCGACCGTCATTCAATCCACGCAGATTTTGCATCTTCAGGCAAATTTATAGGTCGCTTCTTGGAACCTTGTTGATACCGTTCGGTACCCAAAACTGTGAACACTTTCTCGTATTCGGCCACGTTGCCTTTTTTTTAATGGGTGAAAATAGCATGCTAATCCCGCCTGCGCTATAGGTATACACTGGCGGGGTACCAGTGAGAGGTGAGAAGTGAGGATAAAAAGGCAGGTCAGTTAGCATATCGTGACGAATTCAAGGATAAATTAGTCACGATAGTTTCCAGGGGGAGGTCAAACTGATAGTATATATTGATATCAATGGGGGCTAACCTCCCCATTACTAACAATCCCTTCCCCCATGTTGTCGTATTGATAGCTAATATGGAAGGTTGTAGAATTTCTCGTAATAATAATTGTAGTCATTCTTTAAGTGTTTACTAACGGTATTAGAAGTAATCAACTAACCAGTGATATGATTTTAGCAACATTAGTGTAATTAAGATTGTTTTTCAGAATACATATTATGTACTCCTAAATAGGTCTTTGTGTATAGTTAAAAATTCCGCTCTTATAGGGTGGTTATCAAATAATTTCGAAGTAAGCATGGTCCACGCGGCCCCATTAAGCATGGCAATGTTTAGAAGCTTTTTAAAATTTAGCATTTTTTTGTTTCAATTTTTTGCCGAATACGAGTACGAGACGGAATGGAATAGAAGTGATCTCTATTCACATATACTTATTTACAAGCTCTTTCCAACTAACTTCAAAATAGTAATACTTTTTTATGTTTGTTACCTCATAATTTCGTCAGTTATAAACCGGTTTCCAAAATTCTTATTTTCTAACATCTAATCATCTAACAAATTATATTTTCATATCGGTTCTATAGAAATTTTATCAAAATCGTGTCAGTAGTTAAGTTTTTAAATCAAAATAACTTTACATTTAAAATAATTTTTTTTTTTATACAACTTAGAATGACAAACAAGCTGACGGGCCACCTGATGGAAAGTGGTAACCGTCGCCTATAGAAATTACTACAATGAGCATTTAGCCACGATTGTAGTAATTTTTTTTTTGTCTAATACTATCTTAAATTATAAATCGTAATTTTTTCAGTTTTTCTGTCTGTTTACTATCAGAATTACTACTGATTTATATGTCTTTATACATCTTGCTTTCTTTTATGAGAAACATTTGATCACACACACGTGCGTCACTGATGTTTTGATTGATCGAAGAAATAAAAAGAAGAAAATATTGTATTTACCATGTTTTTTTTTTTAATAATAATGATAATAAATAATCCTTGTACCTTGTTTCAGTATTAAAACTACCTAGCCCCAGAATTTGTCTGATAATTCGTTATTATATTCTTTAATAGATTACATTATTAAGATTTTGTCTCCAAATGAGCCCAATGAATTAGATTAATTGCCCAATATTAGATAATTCCGTCAACGTAATTATTTGAGATTCTACATAATGACAGTTAATTAAGTCCATTTGTTGCAAAAGGGAGTCGCTTCGCAAAATTGCTATCAGATGTTCATTTGGACTTGTTATTATGATAAACCATTTTTGTGGAAAAGTTTTAAATGTAAAGAATTGAAAATGTTATAGAAGCTTTGTAATATACTATATAATATATAGTAGCACCTGCGGTTTTCGGTTTATTAGGTTAATTTATTTGAAACCAAACCTCAGGTTACTGTAAAGTCGAAATCATTAAGGTCTACAAGCGAAACTCTACATTTTCCCTTATGAAACTTTAATCGCATATATTGTAAATTTGAACAGCAAATGCACAGTCAATTATAATAATAGGTATGTTATTTCTAACTCAGTTAGTATGATATTATTGATGTAAAACATAATCCCTTCTATATAAAAAAAAAAATGCATGAGAGGTTTCTTAATAACCGAAAACTTCCAGCATAAAGTTATCCATAAACATTATTATACAAACATTATTGATTAAACAATATTTAATCACATAGACAGAGTTTACATGAAACATTGTTTAGACATTTAAAATATAGATAAACAATATTTTAAATATTTTTTGCAGTAAGACCGATAAAGTTTAAGCCTCTCGAAGAACTTTATACAATACGACAGGTGCAGCGGTCAAAGTTAATGCGATATGCTTTAATTCTTTCGTCATTAATAGATTACAGTTTGTTTCCATAGAATAAAAAAAAAAAAATGTAAACAAAAAAGTAATGGATTCGACAATAAGACAGTCTGTTGATGTTTATTAGTATTACAAATAAAAAAAAATATTGATTGATTGAAACATATACAGAGTGTTTCAACTATGAGTAAAAAAACTTGGTTACATTTTAGTTTTCATAGGTAAAATATTGCTATTTATCTATTTATAGACACAGTATATATGACGAAAATAGCATGTATACACTCTTCATCTTACCAGCCATTCTCTGTCCTCTGCTGAACATAAACCTCCCCCATAGACTGCCATAAAGAACGGTCATGAGCCACTCGCATCCACTGATTCAAATGCTTTGCAGGGCATTTGAGGTCGTCTCTCCATCTAGTGACGGGGTGAACCAGAGCGTACTAGTGTATACTAATGTATGCCAGAATTCGCTTTAATGTTATTATGATATTATTGAGTAATGGGTTTTGTCAGTCAAAAACATTGTGATCGCTGTGATCTATTGTGCTTGTCCTTTTCACGCTCGATCTGGCTGTTAATCACGGTCAGTGGTAGGAATTTTAAAACGCACTTAGTAACAGTTTTTTTTTATTTCCTAACGGTTTACATCGTTTGTGCATGAACGGGCTGCTGTTTAAGATTGTGTGCTGTGGCCTTTCTTCCTCATCATGAGTCCTGATATGGTCATTATATAATAGTAATAAATAACAAGTTACTAATAGTACATACCCTTCGTTTGCTTTTCACGTTGTCCAACTGGCGCTGGGTGCACTCCCCAATAGACTGTGACCCCCACAGCTCGACCCCCACCCTTGCGTACGTAAATGTCATCGATACTATTGGCAGGAAATATGTTAACACCATAAAAGCGACGTTATATCTGAAAATATATATTTAGAATTACCATGATGGCTTATAATTATGGGAGGATAATGGAAAAAATCTTATTAATCATACAGACCTATCGTATAATCTTACGAACATAATAAAATTGCAACTAAACGATGTCGGGGGGAAGGGATAGTTAGTAATGCGGGCTACCAGTCCCATTGCTAGCAATATACCCTGTCAAGTCGACCTCCACGCGGTTCCCCCTGGAAACCATCGTGCTGAGTTCCAGGTGTATTCATCACGATGGGCTGACTGACCTGTTTTTTCATTATTCACCTAGCATCCCTCACTGGTGCTCCGTCAGCGTATACCGTTAGCGCAGGCGGGGCCATCAATCCATTCATCATCCATTAAAAAAAAAAAAAAAACTAAACGATGTCTCTTATAAATATTATATGTATGAGTTATAAGGTACAGTAAGTGAAATGAGTCATATGTGTTTAATAGGTACCTCAGATACAGGCTTGACCCATATGGGGATCATTGTTAAGTAATTTTGAAATTTACTGCTTTAAATAAAGATTATTATTATTATTATTTAAGAAAAAATAATATCACATAATAAGACCAACAAATGCCAAATCAATAATTTTTAGAATTTTTGTCTCTCTATCTTTTGTATGTTTGGTCCGATATTACGTAAAAACTACTACGCCAAATTGAATACGGTTTTCACAGTTATATTCCCGAAGGTCTAACTTAAAATCTGGTGTATGTTTCATCTTTTGATGCCATCTAAAAGTAGTCTTCTTATTTTTGAAATCAACACGAAGTAGCGGGCAAACAGTTGGTTATATCTACACAAAATGTTCCTAATAATATAGACATAGAATATCTTATATATAAAACTGTAAACTTCATTTTATCTGTACATGTATCTTGCATAAAATACAGGCCGCATATTGATGAAATTTGGTGTGATTACAATTTAGAACGTGAATCAAAATAGGATACTGTATATAGCTTTTCGTTGCATTAATGACGTCAGAGAAAAATATAATCTAATAAAATTGTCAATAGTAAATAGTGGCTCTTACTACGTGAACTAACGCTGAAATCCAAAATAATACGAGAAATAAAATTTCATTTAAACTCATACAGTCGTTTAAACGTGATTGAGTAACTAACATCCAAATATCTTTATAAAACACATTTATTTAGTAAGACAAGGTTACTATTTTTAAACAATGAAATTATCCTATTTCTATTACAATATAGTCGATTAAATTAGTTTCAATGTGTCTAGTTATAACAATAGATCTTAGGAACACAACTTTTCAAGTACTAAACAACTCAATGATAAAGAAATTTCAGGTATTTAGATAATTCAATTGACGAATCAATTTCTAGGGTTGTTCAACTGAGTCTGCACTTGATAGGAGCGACTTCACGCTTCCTTAACTCTATAAAGCTAATACGAGATGAATTTACCATTATTTTCCTTATGGAACGAGACAAAAGGGGCAGACGTATGCGTAAGTAAGTAGCCGACCTTTTGAAGGGAAGTTATGATCTTAATATATCACATCTAACTAAGCGAAAATTCGGCGTATACCTACATCATTTCAAAAAGGACAAGTTTCGATAATATTTCTTGTTTTTCAGCGATATTTTTTTTATGTTACGTAGAATGGTAAACGAGCTGACGACCCACCTGATGGTAAGTAGTATCCGTCGCTTACAAGAATAGCAAAAGCTTTTATCGACTCGTAAAATAAGGTCGTCAATTCATCTTTATTTTTTTAGTTACTATGTTAAATAATCCCGTCGTTAGTTTTTTTAATGTAACTTAGATTACCAAACAAGCTGACGGGTCACTTGATGGAAAGTGGTAACCGTCGCCTATAGCTATAGACATAACAGCAGCAGTGGAGAGTTAAAGGCTGATATGATAATGACATCATCATCATCATATTACAATTATAAAGTATAAACGTTTTTCAAATAACAGTATTTTTGATGTCAAATTATTAGTAATATACAAATATGGTTTATATTTTAAGTAATCTTTAATACAGTAAAAACTAGATACTATAAGGGCTAAAACTATACAGAGTATACTGTTTCGCTTATGTTATCTCCCAAACATTGCCATTCCTGAGCACTAAGGTGTTATACCTCTGTACTCTGTAAATTTACTGCCATACACCACCTTTTAAACCGAAACATAGCATGCAAACAATTGCTTCAAGAGTTGTGAACCAATATTGATTTTTTCATATGACTGATTTTATTTCAGCCTATATCCCATATTGGAACAATTGACGCTACCTTTTTCCTTTAAACAATTACTTGCTGCGAAATAAAATATCAATTTTGAATTGATTTTTATATTTGTTTTGTCAATTGACTTATCCAAAAATTACCAAAAAATTTTTACTGCATCTAATATTATAATTAGGATTATTGTTTAAAAGACGCGTTACTTATTACCTTTCGCATTTTATAATCATTATTATATTTCTTTGCATGATATGTCACTCATATCTCGCAATAAAAAAGTTTTATAACATGCTATCAAAAAATCCACATTTCAAGTAAATTTTAAGTTAGATTACGTCGTAAAGCTATGGCCTCGTATAAAATATGAAATGTTTAATATAGAATTATCAACTTTTTCATAATCATAACAACAATTTAAGCAGAAGGTTATATTAATAACAAATCTACATTAATTACATAAAGTATTAAAAAAATAGAAAGTCATACTTCGCGCATTGTAAATTTCTGATCACCCAAAGGTTAATGGTGAGTGCTTCTAATATTAAGACTATCATTTTTGTTGTATTATTTATCTAAGTTTTTAATTAAATTAATTTAAAAACATAAGAATATACAATCACATTTAGACAATTGAAGTAAAATACAATAGCATAAAGTACAGATTAAAATATATATATAAAGGTACAAAAGGCGGTATTATCGCTATGGCAATCACTTACAGAGAACCTTTGATTAAAGGAGAACAGATAGAAGGGAGTAAGTGGCGCAAGAGTGAATTAGTAATTTTTACGTGCATAAAATATAAAAATCTATATTGTACAATTATATCAAATACATATTTTATATTTAGTTGGTCAATTATTAAACTTTAGTAAACCTGTTAAGATGTTTGAATGTTTGCCCCTTAAACAGTTATATTGTGTCATAAATAAGTCGTTCAAAAATTAGTCGTTTTTCAAATGAATTCAAAAAGAAAAAGGTTCTCAATTACATTGTATTTTTCTTTTATGTTTAATAACTCATAATTTCGTCAGTTATAAATCGATTTGATTTTTTTTTATTTGAAAGGATATACTTACACATTGGTCCCATAGAAATATTATTAAAATTGGTTTAGTAGTTTAGTTTTTAAATCAAAATATAATTCACTAATTAAAATACAATATGTCTCACTGTAAATGATGTCGAACACAATCTTCAATTATTTATCAACAAGGTTAGTCAAATTTGAAGTAAAAAAGTTTACTTACATGTATTCGAGTTGAGATCTAGTTGTTATCCCGTCTGGCCATTCTGGGAAACATACTCGTCTGAAAAGACAAATACAATTTATTAGGACATCATTATCGTATCTGTAAGTATATATATATATATATATATATATACATATATATATATATATATATCATATATATATACACATATATATGTATATCATATATATATACACACATATATATATATATATATATATATATATATATATATTAATAAAAAAAAAGCATATATATATATAATATTATATTGTATGCGGCAATACTAAATACGGAATAAAATTGGAAATAATCAGCATCCATTATTCTACAAATAATTATGTTTCTTTAACAAAACACGTGTGAAAAAACGGCATTTATTTATGCAATTTAGAATAGCAAACAAGCTGACGATCCACCTGATGTGAAGTAATAACCGTCGCCTATGGACATGAACAGTACCATGGACATAACACACTTATACATATGTTGCCCATTATACCTTTCATGCGTTGTCATTCTTGAGGATTAAGGTATTATGCCTACGTGTTATTTTTATTGCTATATCCCACTTTTCAAACCGAAACACAGCCATGCAAATATAACAACTTCACAGTAGAAACATAAATGGGACAGAGGTATCAAAGCAGATGACTTTTGTACGACGAAAAAGTGTCCCTCTGATTTGGTGCCGTGTATTGAGCTATCACCTATCAAGTTAATATAAATTTTTACAAGGATTGTCATTCATCGACTTGTATTTAATTGTGAAAAATACTCAGTTTTATAGACCAAACAATTTCTTATAATTAAAAATTGTGTCCCATAAAAAAAAAACAACTTCAACTGTGACAAAACCAGTTATTTTGGTTTTAAAATTAAACTATTGAATTGATTTTTATAAAATTTCTACTGAATCAATCTATAAGTATACTTTTTTAAATAAAAAATAATTTTCCAAATCGGTTTAAAACTGATGGAGCTATGAGAAACGCCTTCTTTTTGAAGTCGGCTAAAAAGGATGTAATTGATTTCGAATTTGCTTTTAATTTATATCCTGTTAATATTATTAATATTTATAAAGATAATTGTTATTTAATTATGTTTACGAACAGACAGATGGCTGAAAGAAAAGCTGACTATGTCTTAAATCAACACAGAACACTTTTTATAATAATTGACGATTGTTGGTCGTGTGGATGTTTAAAGTGACATTTAAATAGACTTTTTAAATACAGTGTTTGGATTAGGCATGAGTAATATGGATACCGATCCGATATCTATATATTGGGTTCCTCTGGAGTTTGATGGCGGATAAAGTCATCACCCATTTCGATATTTCCCATATCGGTCGGATATTTATTTTCGAATATGTTAAAAATCTGTTATCTAATATATTTTTTTAATAACAGACTCATAACATATTCGTCATTGGATTAGTAAATAGATATTATTATTAAATTATATAGATATTGCTATATATTGCCCATCCCTAGTTTGAATATACTATCCAACATTCGTCGTATATTTATTTATATATCTAAGGTTTCTTGACGTGGTACTAATTACATACTATTGTAGTTTTATATGCTGTTTGATTAATCGAACAAATGAAATTAATTAAACTAAATGTACATGAACTTACAAGGGCATAGGTTATTTCTTATTCTTATGACGGGGACAAATTGACTAACTTGTGACGTGAATGAAGTCTTTTAGGATCCAACATTGTTCTTCAGTAGATAAGCAGTTTGGAATGACACGTATTCCTCTAAGTATTCTATGACGATGCATAATTACTGGAATGAGTACTTCAATTTTCAACAATGTTGCAACAAATTGCAATTAAATACTTCTCAACTTTTGCTCAACAATGTTAGACTTTCATTTAGTTAAGTGCAATTAAGCTTCCAACATTGCATAGTTTTAATGAATTAATGGATTAATTCAGTTTAATGCAATTGGTAATTATTCTTCCAACATTACATTATTTAATGAATTAATTAAAATTAATACAATTAAAAATTATGTTTCCAACGTTGAATTATTTTAATGTAGGCACTAGTGGATTGTTTAATTTTAATTAAATTGGAAGTTATGCTTTTAAATTTATATAACTTTATAAATTAATAAACGAAAGTAATTAAGATTAATACTTTCAATATTTCATAATTTTTATGAATTAATCTTAGAATTAATGAATGGATTAAATTAATACAATTTTTTTTTTATTATATATAATGAGTGAGTTCTTAACACCATTATTAATTTTGACTTTTGTTTATTTATTTTAGCGTTGTAGAAAAAGGATGACAGTATACGATACATACATTAATGATTAATACTCGTATATAAGAACTATTAACGCAATTCACGCTTTCCCACTTTTTTTACATATTTATTTACATAAAAATATAGAAAAGCGTTGTGTGGTCCTGGCCTAGAATGGGCTGCCCTTTTATTTCTCGCAAGTGTCGTAAGACGCGATCAAGTGAACTTAATGGGCGAGAGATGGGTAGCAACGTTCCTTTTCAAATATCACGCTTGAGTGCAGTTGTCAACCTGCATGCCAAGCAAAGCCCTCCTTACTGGGGAGGCCTATGTTTAGTAGTGAACAATTAGCGGATGATATAATGATGATTTATTTAAATAAAGAGTATATTTATCTGTTTCCACGTCACACGGTATTTACTAGATCTTAATACATTCAATAAAATACATATATATTGTATTTTCTGATAATGGTATAAAAATAATGAATACTAAATATAAAAAACAATTGTACAAAGAAAGTCTACCAAAAAACTTTAGTAATTTGGATTCCATTGTGTGCTCAGGAAAATAGGACAGCGGAAAACCACCTCAAAGCAGTTAGCGAAACAATGTATGTTCGCGTGATCCACGCCAAGTTCTGAATGTGGGCTATTACATTTATTCAACAGCCATCAAAAAGAGGGAGGTTCTTAATTCGACTGAATTTCATTGTGCACGTTACGCGGCAGCTTCGTCAGTTCTAAGTTCAATTTGATGATATATTCCCAATTGAAATAATTTACTTCTCTATGAATGAATGATGAATGAATAAAAATTTATTTCAATAAAACCATAACACTTACATATACTTAGATTATAAGTAATAACAAATTAATATATATATATATATATATATATATATATATATATATATATATATATAAAATATATATATATATATATATATAAAAAAGTTTACATTTATATATTCTTTATATGTAGTAGAAATCAGTCAGTGTTATGGTAAAGAAAAAGGATGCTAATTAAGGTTCCTGCAAAAGCAGAAACGCTATACCGCTTTTTTTTTTACCGCCCACTATGTACTTTTTATTATAACACATTGTAATTTGTTAATCTTTGTCGGGTGGGGTAAGGGATTGTTAGTAATGGAGACTGAGAATCCCATTACTAGCAATATACCCAACCAGGTTGACCTCCTCGCGGTTCCCCTTGAAACTATCATGGTTAATTCCTGATGAATTCATCATGATGGGCTAACTGGCTTGTTTTCATTCTCATCTATCACCCTTCACTGGTGCTCCGTCAACGTATCCCGTTAGCGCAGGCAGGGTTACCATACCATTTTCACCCATCAAAAAAAATCTTTGTCGTGTGCCCACGATACACGGGCTAGTATACTAGTGTAGGGCCCATTGTATCTTGTGTTTTTAACTTTTTGTTTTTTTGTCAAATAATAAATTTCTAAATTGTTATTTATTTATTAGTTTCATACTACATTTGTGTCAAGGCTGAAGTTGTTTTATTTACAACAAAATGTTAATTTGTTAATATTGTAGTAGCCGATTTCGTTTCGGCATAAAAATAAGCCTTTATTGTTATGACTTTGGGTAAATTATTTTATTTTCTTTATTTATTATCAACCGACTTCAAATCGAAGGAGGTTCTCAATTCTCAAATTATATTTATTTATTTCTCTCACAAAATGACAACATAATACAATTTACAGCTATATAGGTTACAATTTAAAAACAATCTTTGTGAGAGACTGGTGTCGGTACTAGGATTACCCGTCTTACAGATCACCAGGCTCCCAAACTCAAGGACATCTATTTTACTTGATATAAAGGTAACAGTATACAAGTTAATAAATGAAATTAGAAAATTTTTATAATTATATAAATAATAAATAATAAAATCATTTATTCAGCTACAAAACATAACAATATTAATAACAACATTATACATTGAAATAATATATTTATATTTCTTTATTAACCAATGTAACAGTTTTCGTCACACAATGGCAAGTCAATATTTACATTATAATATTTAAATTAATATAATAAATAATAATAACATTTGAATTGTAAAATAAAAATAACATTATAAATTAGTTATACTACATGTCAATACAATGATAACTACATGCCAATAATGATAGTTACATGTTATAAAATTTTACATTGTCACACTTATTACAATCAAATATAAATAAATAATAATATGTCATATTTTAATATTAGAATTTAAGTATTCGATCACATTTTTTAAAGCATGTTGCTTAATAATAATAATTATGTGGTAGAAGCTAAAATGCAGCGTAAGCTGCAGTGTGGTGCTGCGGCGCTGATTTTCAGTGGCGCTACCACTCGGTAGGTAGCACTCGAGAAACAGGATTTAATTATATATATGTCTATTTTGAATTGCGAGGAATAAAAAGTACCTTCTTATTACAAATTACTGTGTGTATGCCAAACTTTTCGATTAAGTCGTTAAAGTAAGGGGTAATAAATAAAGAAACATACATATATAATCTAGACATAAACAGAGATTAGATGACGCAGTCCCATAATATACGTATATGAAAACAAACTTGCGATAACTAAACAAGGAAGTTGTCGTAATGTTGTTGATAACAAACCCCTTTCCAATGTATTATTAGTATGTATTACCTGTATACTGTTTTTGTCGATCCCCTAAACTTTTCGAAATAAATTTTGTGCATGGACTCCTAATCAAAATTTAGACGAAGTTCAAGTAGCTCATGAACTCATGGAGTTCCA